TGACCACAGTTGCCAAAATTAAAGAAAGTCAGAGAAAATGTGTTTTTTCGTATTTTGGCACTTTTCAGGAAAACAAATATTGGGTGAAACCTGAAAGAATGGACAAAAATACATAATTATGTTCATCGAGTTTTAAAATTGGTCCACTCATGAGTATGTTTGAGATGTAAGAATCGATGAAAATACGATTTTTCCGATGTTTGGCGATTTCTCGGACAAGAAATGATTGACTGACAATGGAACTAAAAAAAAAAAAATGCTCAAGAGCATATATCTACAAGGGATTACTGTTAGTCACGTATTCCCCACCTTACCAAAAACCTTAAAAGTTGAAGAAAATAACCGAAAATTCAGTTTTTCCTGTTTTCGAAATTTTCCGGGAGAAATCAAAATTTTGACCACCTGAGATAATGGACACAAATACGTATGGTTGCCGAGTTTTTAATTTAGTCAACTTATGATATCCTACGTTTAAAATGTCAATAATTTGACAAAATTATTGAAAATGCTTTTTTCCCGATTCTTTCACGATTTTGTTAGTGGATCTGAAAGGAAAGCGAGAAGGTACTGATATACAGTGGATTCTTGAGTTTTCGAAATTTTCATTACATGACCTAAAATTTGAAAAGAAAACAACTTCAAAAAACTTTTTTCTCGAACGGTTAATTAGCATATAACCATGAAGCCTAGGTATTTTCAAAATTTTCTGAGCAAATTGCGCCGGTAAAAAATATTTTCAAATAAACATGTTTTTGAAGTTGGGTGGCACCATCGACCTGAAAATTTGACTAAGGTGATTTGACAAAATATACTTTACTAATTACAATTTTTCCGCATTTGGATACCTCTGGGGACACTTTTCATAGGTAGTATTGCTTATAGCCTTTTTCTTGAACCTCTATATGTTTCGCTAAAGGACTTTCATACGCACGTTTTTAAGATCCTTCCGTATTTTTCAGACCTGCCATAGAATTATTCTTGTTTAAATTTATTATACCTTTTTTAAATAAATGTATTCTATTCCGGTCACTTCGGTCGTGCGTTGCCCGAAAATCCGCACTAACCTTGAAAAATGTGCACCCGCATATCTCCCGTGCGACGTGACGCTAGCCGCATCCAGCTAGCAGCATTCCCACTCCCCCAATTTGCCATATTGGGCTGAATCATCATACCGTGAAATAGACGGAAATGGGTATGCGGCGAACGTTGCGTAAACGACGGCAAATAATGCAATAACGCGATTAAGCGCCGCGGAACCTGCTGGAAGCGTCATAATATAAAAGCGGCCTAACAAAGGACTGTGATTGTGATTAATAATATGAACAAAACTTTGCGACTATGGCAAGGCGCCAAACTTGAAATTCGTCTTTATTTTACTTTCCAGGTATTATGGAAGCAGAGGTAATTGAATACGAGATAATAGGTACGTCGCGCAACAAAAAACGGCATCAAGTAGGCAGACTATTTGCTATCGCGTAAAATTGAGGTATGTACCTATTGTTCCGCGAAGGCTTTCAAATTTTCTGACAACAAGTTTGGATATCTTATGGTATCTGCGTTACGAATATCCGTTGCTCATTTCCATTTTTTGTATTCGGGGGGTTCAATATAAAAAGGACTAGTTTTGAAAACATACGTTCACTGATACTGGCACCAACTGCAGACTCCGGTAATGAGTGTTAGAGTAAATTTTACCGGCTTACTTGACACAGCCGCAGTAACGTGTAGAGGGGAAAACTGTAGATTAGAAGTGGAGTAATATGGCACCTTGGGTAATACGCCGCAGCTCAATATTTCCTTTATAAATCGTATATTGCATCGAAAGACGAGTATTTAACAGTGTTTGGGAAAAAATACGAAAATACAAGGTATGTGCATTCTTAAAATTATTTTGTGTAAAGAAGATGCCACGAAATTACACCAAGAAAAGTTCGAGGGCCATGTGGTCAGCAGAAGATCTGACAAATGCAATCTCAGATGTTAGAAATAGTCGTGGTTCAGTAAGGCATATTTGTCGAATCTATTCTGTGCCTGTTAGAACCTTAATGAGGAGAATGCAATCAGGAAACGCAAATAAGGTCAACTTAGGTTGTAAGAGTTATCTATGTCCAGAATATGAACGAAGCTTGTAGAATACATCCAAAAATGGAGAAGATGGGTGTTGCGCTAACATCTGTACACGTAAAAAAGATTGCGTACTCATTTGCTTCTCAGAGGTAGTAGCATAAAAACGAGAGAAAAAAGAAGCCAAAGAAAAAAATATCTACGAAACTGATGACAGCCCGACAACGAATGAAAAAACGGATGACAAACAAAAAAGCAATAGGAAAAGGTGGAAATAACAAAAGCTTGCGAAAGAGAAAAGTCGTAGAAGTGCCCTATTTGATTATTATAGTTCGTCCGAAAGCGAAACAGAAGTAGCTACACTGGAAAGTGCTGACTCAGAAATAGAAGTAGACCATTCCGAAATTTGTGCAGAGTGCGGTGGATATTGTTTCGACAAGAAGGATCCCAAATGCAACTGGATACAATGTACTAGGCATTCAGACTGGGTCCATGAATTCTGCACAAGATCTGACTTATTCTGCGAGGGCTGCCTCCCACAACAGCTGACAAACGATATTGAATGGAACAATTGAATATTTATTTCTATTTAGTGTAGGATTATTTTTGTTATTTATTTAATATATGTCAACCTATTTCAGGTTATCTTTGGTTTCAGATTAGGTTTATTTATTTATTGATATGTTAATAAACATTTCTTTAAAAATATATTTGTTTATGTTTTATTTTTCATAAATTGCATGAATCCTTATGAGAATCACATGTTGCCGTATTTCCCATTGTCCTATACCATAATACCCTAATGCTGGGGAAATATAGCAATTTGTCATTAATCGAGAGTTTTGTTTTCTATTAGACCTATAGCGAAAACGAATTCACTAAACTATACCTCATACTGTATAGCCACTCTAGCCAGTTCCGTTGCAAAGCTGAATGGACGAGTATTGATTTATGGTCCGTTATGTGTTTTGCAGTGGTTTTAAAGTACATGTTAATAATTGATATACGCTCAAGACCAAAATAAACACAATACGCAAAAATGCAGTTAATTTTCATTTCCAACTTCACGTTGATTATTTTTTCAGCAGTCCATAGGTCCATTACTGCTTTGGCTTTAATTTGCTTATCTAATTTCTAGATGGCGGCCATCTTTTGCCTTATTATACAGGGTGATTCCAAATCATGTTCCATTACTAGGACTTTTAGCCATCCTCTGGTATGACTTTATTAGCTTATCAAACCGCAATGCTTTCCACTGTCCAGAATCGTATTTCTCCATAATCTGCTTTTTTATCCATGTCAAAATGTAAAGTGGTTGAAATTTTAGATTCAACTTAGGTTTTTACCACTAATTTGCCGTATTCCTTTTATAATTTTTTTAATTCCTAGCACGATTCCGAAAATTATCCATTTCAATGCATTTTGCGTTGCGTGCAAGTTTTTTTTATATACCGTCTTTCATTTCGTTTTTCTAAAAGGGTCGAAGAAAGTGAAAACTTTGTCCTAACCTTAGAACACCCATTGCAACAATTTCGTGTTCTACACCTTCTGAATTGCAATTAGGGCATTAAACAAACCTTCCTTATTGCACAAATTTTAATCAGCATTATACTATCTTTTTATGTGTGGAAGAACGACTTAAGCATACTCTGCATCATACAGAGCTGTTCATTTTCAAATTCCATATTGAAGTTGATAGTCTATATCAGGGTTTTTCAACCTTTTCTTTTGTTGAGGCTCCCCGGACTATAAATTATATTTTCATGCCCCCCTTTTCTTTTTCAATAAATACAAAAAAGACACATTATATAGTACAAAGACTTTTATTTTAATTCTGATAAAGAAACTTTAAAAGTTTAAATAAACTAATAAATGTTTTTTATCGAAAAACTTGAATAAAATAAGAGTAGGTACTAATGAGAAACTTGAGATTGCATGTTCTGTACCAGTTAGTTGATTCTAGGTTCTGTTTTTGCTAGAGCTATCATCAAGTCGATATCGACATCAAGGCGATTTCGCTGTTTAGTTTTAATTAAAACTAGAGCAGAAAAGCCTGTATCACATAAGTAAGTTGAAGAAAAAGGAACTAGTATTCGTAAAGCAAGAGAGGCAAGTATCGAATTAACAGGCAATCAACCTCTTGATCCAAAATTTCTCCAATGTTGCAAGATGGACGTCGTCTTTCATGGACAAATCAGCCTTCATTAGTAAGTAAGTTGAAGAAAAAGGAACTAGTATTCGTAAAGCAAGAGAGGCAAGTATCGAATTAACAGGCAATCAATCTCTTGATCCAAAATTTCTCCAATGTTGCAAAATGGACGTCGTCTTTCATGGACAAATCAGCCTTCATTTCTAGAAATTATTCCTGAACTGCTTCTGGTAATTGTGACACATCGACAACAAATGGATTTCTTGTCATGTGCCCTATTGATGTCTCGATAGTATCGGCGCAATTCGTCTTCCAGCGTTTGCAAATGAGCTTTTTAATTTGTGTCCAGTATGTTATTTTTAATTGCTTCAAACAGCCGAGAAAAACATATAACATTATCAGAAGACACTTTTTGATTCCAAAGTTGAAGCTTTGATATGAACCCCTGAATATAACCGTAATTGCTTATTATAATGTTGTTTCTGCTCTGAAGTTTCAAGTTTGGCTCATTCAAGGAGTCAAATATGTCAGTTAAATAAGCCAACCTCCATTGAAATGTGTAATTTTTGAACATCAAGAAATCGTGTTTTTCTTTGGACTCAAGAAAAAGAGCCTCTTCTTTCAATTTATAAAGGCGATCCAACATGTTGCCTTTGGACAGCCAGCGTACTTCTGTGTGGAACAGAAGAACTTTGTGATCAGAATCGAGATCCTCGCAAAGTAAAGTAAATAACCGACTGTTCAAAGCGCTGCTCTTGTTGTAGTTTACAATCCTTATAGCCGAGTACAAAGTCTGGCGTAATTTCTGTGGCAATGTTTTGGAAGCCAAAGCTTGAAGATGAATAACACAATGTGTACTAACCATTGCGTAATCTTTTTCCTTGAGCTTTTTAGCTAATCCCGATTGTACACCTATCATTGCAGGTACGCCATCTGTGCAAAGTCCAATAAGTTTCTTCTAAACCAAATCATTTTGTTTAACAAAATTTGATATTGAATTAAATATATCTTCAGATGTAGTACCTGCTGCCAAAGATCGGGAGTACAAAATCTCTTCTTGAATGATATCTCCGCCGATGTAACGAACATAAACTATTAACTGGATTCATCGCAACTAATGGCAAAAATGGTGATACTATGAGGTTTCTTTTGCTTTGCTATCATAAAAGCTATTTCAAATGAAGCTTTGAGATGCTGCGATACACCTGTGTGATAACTTCCCGATTTATTCAGTCTCATCCGCTTGTGTGATTCTGCTTTAGAAGAAAAAACTCACTCGTCTTCAAAACCTGAGTAGGATGTTGTTGCTTCAAATGCCTTTCAAGGCGATTAGGCCTCATGCTATCATTACTTAAAACTTTCATACATATCACACACTGAGGCAATTGTAACTCGTCTTCTTCTTTGAAGATAAATCCAAACTCAACATAATCTTCGGAAAACTTTCTTTTTTTCGCTGCCATTTTGCACCTATAACAATACGACAAATAAGTAATAAATAAATAAGCGAAATACCTACATGTAATTACTAATTACATGCCCATTATTTTATATTAATACAGTACAATAATACAATACAATATATTACAAAGTGATGGCGATATATACAGTGGTTTTATATATTACACTAAAATAAAACATGTTTGTTTACTTTTTCTTATGTGGTAGCTAGATAACTTAATATCCATATGCACCAATCTTAAATAATGTGTAATGTAACATTTTAATAATAAAATAGTAAAATAAATAAAACAAAATAAATCAAGGTCAAATAATTATTTGACAATCTATATAATTATCATGTGTATATAAAATTTTCTAATTAGTTTTCGTAAATTGTTAGTTAACCTAAGCACATGTTGCTTCCATTTAAGATTTTGATCTATTATTACACCAAGGTATTTCGTGTATTACCTCTTTTATTTCATTTTCAAAACCGTTTACTTGTATGCTGTTAAAATTTGGTCGATTTGCAGATGTTAAGGAAAAGGCTGTGTAATTAGTTTTATCCACATTTAAACTAAGTTTAGATGAATCAAGCCAACATTTTATTTTTTCTAATCTAAGAGATGTTTTTTCATATACCTCTTCCCATGTTTCCGCCACAAAGACCACGACGGTGTCATCAGCGTATGAAACCACCATACCATTTTCTAGAATAATATCTGTCAAAGAGCTTATATATAATATACATAGTAATGGCCCAATAACGGTGCCCTGTGCTATGCCCATTTCTATTCTGATGAGTCACTGATCACATTTCCGATCTTAGTTATCTGTATTCTACCTGTCAAGTAACTCGCAAAAACCTCCGACACAACACCCCTGTTCCCAAAAATATCGAGAACATCTAGAAGGACACTCTGTCAAATGCGATTGCAAGGTCTAGGAAGAACGCAATGCATTTCTTTCCTTGATCAAGATTTTTCCAAATGATTCTTGTAAGCTTAAGTATCGCATCTGAGGTACTGATGCCATTGCGAAAACTAAATTGATTTTCTGACAAAACATTATTACAGGCGTCCCTCGTTTTACGCGGGGGTAACGTTCTTTGAAAACACCGCACGCGTAAAAGGAAACCGGATATTTCGAAACAAACACATTTATTACATAAATTTTTGTTAAATACATAATATACATAGGTATGTTTGTACATATTATGTATGAGAACATTAAACGTTAATTTTTTAACAAAAATATTAATTTTTAGAAAAATAAGACGTAATTTTTGACTGTTTAGCTTCGTTACGTAAATTCTTCTCAACTTCCTTGTATGGTGCCAATGCTGCAAAAACCTCTGGTTTAGTTTTTAAACTTCTTTCCTTGTAGGATCTTCCCTGATTAACAGCTCGGTGAGATCGTGTGCCATGGTAAAACATTTATTAAGCGTTTTCAACGTCAACTCCTTTGGTGCCGGGACTACTTCATCATCTTCACCTTTTTCTTGAGCTTCATAATTGTTCTCCGTCAGTTCTATGAGTTCTCTTTCAGTGAGTTCAACATTATGCGATTCAAATAGCTGATTTATATCGTCCTCATTCATATCATCGAATCCCTCTCCAGGTAATGACTTTCCTAAATCAGCAATTTCTTTGATTTCGTCTCTGATATCAGGCATCTTCGCATGAGACTTCACAATTTCTGGACATAAGTTTTTCCAGCAACCATTTAATGTCGATTTTTTAAGTTCACCAATCGGTTCTTTAATATTATGTAGGCAATCTGCAATTGTGTAATCCTTCCAGCATTGGATTAATGTTTTTGTAGAGTCACGTTCAAGTTTTCTAACAGCATTTTAAACGTGCGTCGCGTGTAGTAAGCTTTGTAGATGGCAATGATTCCCTGATCAAGAGGCTGTATTATTGATGTGGTGTTTGGTGGAAGAAATTCTACTCGAACGGATTTATTTCCTGTAAACGGGCGGCTGGGTGACCAAGGGCATTATCTATGAATAATAACACCTTAAATTCAAGATTTTTTGACGTCAAATAACGTTTAACCTCTGGTATAAAACAGTTCTCAAACCAGTCTAAGAAAATGTCTCATGTTACCCATACATGACCATTGGCACGCCAAAACACAGGCAATTTATTTTTATCTTTGTTTTTTGAAGCACGGGGATTCAATGACTTGTACACTAATAAAGGCTTAATCATACAATCTCCAGAAGCATTTGAACAAAGCAAAAGTGTGAGACGATCCTTTTCTACTTTAAAGCCCTTTGCGGTCTTCTCCTCTTTTGATAAAAATGTACGGTTTGGCATCTTTTTACAAAACAAGCCAGTTGCGTACGCGTTAAAAACCTGCTCAGGTTTAAAACCTTCTTCTTCAATGATTTTTAAAAGTTGCCCAGGATATTCCCTACAAATCAGGTCATGCCTGATTGCAAGTTGAAACCACGGGGTGACGCGATGCAACCGCGAAAATAAATCACTGGGGTCAAAAGCGCAAACGCGTATAAGCGAAACCCCGTATAAATATGCCGCGTAAAACGAGGGACGCCTGTACTAGATAAAAAGTTTGATAATGTCTCTTTAACACACTTTTCGAATATTTTAGCGAAATTCGTAATGACTCCAATTGGACGAAAATTTGTAATTTTAGTTTTATCCCCAGATTTATATATTGGGGTAACAATAGTTGTTTTACAGCATTGGGGTACACAGCCAGTTTTAAAAATTAGATTTATGATGTATACTAATGGCTCAATTAAGTACAAATGATATTGCTTTATAATTTTCGTTTGTATTCCATCAAAACCGGGTGAACAGTTGTTTTTCAATGCACTGATTGATATGTTTTATAATCTCATTTCTATTAACAGGCTTTAAAAACATGGAACTGAATGATTTATATTTAATTTTGAGGGGAATATCAGGGGGTTTTATTTTGCAAGCCATTTTCTTCCCTACATTAATGAAAAAATTGTTGCAGTATTCAGTCATTTGTTTATCATTTGTGAATGTTTTGTTATTATCTTGACTAATTTCAATTTTGCTAGAATGTTTACTTTTTTCATTAACAGCATCAGAAATAATTTTGTAAATCTTTTTAAAATCGTGTTGATTTTCATTGATTTGTTCCTTATAATAGTTAAATGTTTATTTATTAATTATTTTATTTAGGTTGTTTCTGTAGTTTACATACGTATCCCTATCCAATAAGTTATTATAATAACGTAATGTGTTCAACAGTATATTGGCCACCGGGAGATTTATATTTTTGTAGGCAGGTTGACGTTATAGTGGTAATTTAAAACACATTTGGAATCAATATTAGGTACCTAAAGTTCGTCGTTTCAAAATTATTTCGCCACGTTGGTTTGATTGTGATGTGGTATAAAAGTCCCAATGGCCGATCTATGAACACGTCTCCACTCAATCAACAATTTAGTAAATTAAAAAAAATACAAAGGTACATTTTAACAGTGAGACACAATAATTTGACACACTCAAACAGATTTCTCAACAAAACATGTACATCGAAACGTCAAATTTTTTGCAGCTCGTGGAAATTAATGTCACAGATGCTCATCCGCGTCTGGTAGGTACACAGTTGTTTTCTAAGTGATGAATGTTAAGCAGAGCCCGGCGAGGGTGCGCGCGGATTTCATGTTGTGACTTGTCGAAACTTGTATAAACTGCGATTGACGACGTCGGGTTCTGAAACAGTGGTTGACAATAAGTGAATATGATATTTAATTTCTAATTTTATGCGTGTAAATTAAATATTACATTGTAACGTTACTTGTTTGTTAATGTTGTTTATTTATTTTGTTTTTTCTTTCTAAAATGCAAACGCTTTCCGACCCTTTGAAATCTCTCTATGCCCCCCTTGGGAGGCGCGCCGCCCTGGTTGGGAACTCATGGTCTGGATGATTTAGATAGACGCGACAAGAAGAGGATAAGATTATCATATCATGATGATATTACGAAAGTAAGATCAGCTGTGTCAGAATGTCCTCTCGTCCTATAACCTATGTCGCTCCTGAGAAGATGTGGGTCTCACAATGGCAACGAGAGTATTCCATAAGGGCTGATTCTAATACTGCTTCTGTTCGATAAAGCTGTTAGTTCACAGCTTTAAGGACGATAGCACTTCGCCTTCCGGCATTTAGAATGTTAAATCTAACTACGGAGGATTGGAGAGAAAAAACTGATCTCGACACAATAGTGATTACCTCTTTGGCGAAGAATACTAAAAGCTATCACTGATATCCTTGCGCAAGCGACGCAGAATTGACATGTGAAAAATATGATGATTGTAAATTAATTCCTGTGATGTTCATTGATCACCCTTGTGCCGTTTCTACTGGCATTTTGAATTCAAGGCATATTGGAATGAATTAAGGGGCCGCCAGATATAAAAACATCTTCACCTGCTGATTTTTCTAACCAACCGTTGCTTCAATGATGTTTGAATGTAAATATTTGAGTATCATTCGGGTCCCATTGCACAATTTGGTTGGTCTTAAGTTTCTCCATATCGGGAGTTTCAAATTCGACTGTCACCATTGGAATCTTGGAAACCATAAGAGATACGATAGTGTCTACTTAATTTGGAACACTCTGTGTATGTGAGAGGTATTTTAGCTATTCATCTTGATGAGGCCGCATTATACAAAATTTAATTCAGATTATAATGGCTGAAAATGCGTAATTAACGCAGATTACTCAACGAGCTACTGTTATTTGCGTCTACGTATTTTGTTAAATAGCAGACCGGCGTTTCTGTGAATCGTTAATCATGGCGTTCAGAATTGTGTAGCTAAACAGCTAAACTGTTTTGGGGAAATGACGACAGCAAAATTAACTGATTCTGACTTGTACACGATTATTCAGCTAAACGGTTTATAGTATGTCATCTCCACTACGTGGTGCTCGGAGAGGATCAGGGATGAGAGATAAGCGAAAATTGCGTCAATGTATGGTAGTTGAATTAACTTTAAATGATACATATCTGCGTCTACTATATACAGGATGTTATGGATATAATATTCGTAACTTTAAAAGGTAAATTATTGAATTATTCTAAGAAAAAAAGTTCATTATAACTTATGTCCGAAAAACAATTGTTTTCGAGGAAAGTGAGTCGTAAATAATTAAATTTTCTCAAACATTTGGCAACGTTACCACTATACGAGTGCATGCCGACCGCAACTAATTCATCAAATTGTTCACATTTGTATGATATTTTTGTTGAAAATATGCCTTGAATTATTGAATACTTTTACGCAATTTCTTGTGACTAATATTTTTTACTTAATAACGCTTTCAGTACAGTACATTTACAAAAAAAAAATGACAGAACTTACCGGTACGTGGCGATACACACCATCAATTCCCATGATTATCAAAAAAGAACAATATCCGTAAATCACATAAAGTTACCGTTAAATGTATTAGTAATCAAAACAACACGCGATGATAGGTACATACATGCAGTGCAGGCGGAATACGATGTTGCCAGTTGTGTAAGGGATTTTGTTTTGATTGTTTTTCTTCGGAAAATTGTATTTAAAAAGCAAGACAATTATTTTGTTAGAGACAGTTAATTAATAACTAGATGTATTGATACATTTTACGCTATTAGACATATGAATTTAAATTATTAAGGTGCAAAATTAATTTATTCCATGACCAAAAAGAAATAAGTTCAGCATTTTTTGTTCCGAAACGGTTGATTTTCCGACATAGGTTATAATGAACTTTTTTGCTTAGAATTATGCAAGGAATCACCTCTTAAAGTTACGAACATTATTTCCCTAACACCCCGTATAATCTGTAACTTCTGTAGTATTTAGCATATGGTTACCAGGCCTCGCCGAAAAAATAAAACTGATTATGCTATTGCTCTACAAAAAATTATCTAATATTAATAGATCTATCATGGTTGTGATGGAAGGAACAAGAAAGTAGTGGGGCAACTAGACCAAAAGTCTCCCATGTTTTACGTTTCTTCTTCATATATATATATATATATATATAGGGTGTTACTTAATGATAAGCCGTAATTACAACTGTGCATTCCTGAATGAAATTCAAGTAGAGAAGCTCCTATAAACATGTATCTTAAACAGTCTAATTTCCAAGGTGTCTGAGTTTCAGAAAATTTGTTTTTTTTATATCTCAAAGATCCTTGCACCGATTATGGTAAATTTTGGCATTATTGTTCACTGCTAAAAGACGCTGGTTAGCTCTAACTATAATCATGATTTCTAGTGACGTCTCGGGAGGTAGACGCCAAAAAAATGTCCGTCACTGACTTTTTTGAAAACCTATATTCTTTGTAATTTGTCTCTTGAAATTGCTTCGTATCTTACTTTGTTTTCGAGGTAACAATAAACTTCATTACATGTCGAAAAACTGTTAAAACAAAATCAAATCAACTTTGCATTACAGGGGAATGTTTTTCTGCTGTTATATCTAATAATTTTTTGACTTTCCGCGAAAACTTGTTTTCTTTTTCTACAAAACCCATTTTGTTCAATGTTTGACACCATGTATCGTAGAAACCAGACTTCTTAGGAAACATGTTTTTGTGCATTTTTTCTACATGGATTTGGTTCAGGAATGCACCGTTGCAATCACGGCCAATTATAAACTAACACTTTAAAAATTCGCTGGTTATTTCGTCACATCGCATACTATATTTGATCTTCACCGTTACCGAGACCGCTGCCAGTTCATGGAACCCAAACCTGTGCTAAAGACTAAAATGTTGCATTGAAAAATGGGGACTGTGTGTTTTGAGTTGAGTCATATGAGAACACACAATATACTCGCCGGGTATACATATAGTACTGAATGTCGAATGTCAAATGTAGTCAGGTTTCTTAATTAAACTGTTGAGTTTTGCAGGTGAAGTGAGACAGTCCAAACCAACGAATTCGAATAGTTTAGAAGGAGCCAAGCCGATATGCTTACATTGCATTGTTTGTAATAACGCCACAAATGAGATTAATTTGTTGGTCCATAGATGAGGCTGTCAAATTTGTAGACGACTGTCTTACTTCAGAGTTAAAACAACCTAAACATAATCCATCCTGGTTTATGTTTAACTATATACCATAATTAGAGTTTTACATCCACTGCCATATTCTGAAAACACAATTTAAATTCTTAGGATTTTGCATATAAACAAACTTAAAGCTGTGAGGACAAATCACATTCAGCTGAGGTTGGTCTATCAGTAATGCAGTCGGGTTATTTCGTCACATCGCATATTTGATCCTCACCGTTACCGAGACCGCTGCCAGTTGATGGAACCGGAACCTAAACCTGTGCTAAAGACTAAAATGTTGCATTGAAAAATGGGGACTGGGTGTTTTGGGTTGAGTCAATAGGATATATGAGAACACACAATATACTCGCCGGGTATACATATAGTATTGAATGTCAAATGTAGTCAAGTTTCTTAATTAAACTGTTGAGTTTTGCAGGTGAAGTGAGACAGTCCAAACCAACGAATTCGAATAGGGTAGAAGGAGCCAAGCCGATATGCTTACATTGCATTGTTTGTAGTAACGCCACAAATGAGATTAATTCGTTGGTCCATAGATGAGGCTGTCAAATTTGTGGACGTCTGTCTCACTTCAGAGTTAAAACAACCTAAACATAATCCATCCTGGTTTATGTTAGCTATATACCATAATTAGAGTTTTACATCCACTGCCATATTCTGAAACCACAATTTAAATTCTTAGGATTTTGCATATAAACAAACTTAAAGCTGTGAGGACAAATCACATTCAGCTGAGGTTGGTCTATCAGTAATGCAGTTGGGGTAATGGGGAGAAAAATATCTCTCCTCACTTCCATTGAGTTTTGGTACATAGAACGTGCAATAAACTTAGTAAGCTGAAGTCAAGTCAGAATACTGAGATTGTGTGTAAAACGGACGTAACCAACATTACATAATTTCAGCATTTTTTGTCCTTAATGCTTATTCCATTCTAAGTCATGCATTTCTTTGTTTCAGGATCGCGGCACAATCCCAAGCTAAGCAAAATACAAAAGCAAAGGTAAATTGAACACACAAAAATAAGACTGACTCGCCAATAAGAAATTGTCACTTGATCTAATTGCTCAAATCACTAAAACATGCACTGTAAGAATATATACATAAAAAATAGACAAAAAACAGGCTGGAACATAGCGAGGACTTTATATTGCAGCCTTAAGCCGAAGGAGAAGTGGATGTTATAGAAGAATTGCTAACTGAAAAATGGCTGATCTATAAAGTTTTCGCGAAACAGTAGATGATGAAATAGCCCGTAGGGAATCACTTAAGAGTGTTGTCGTGTCTTCACGTTTAGGAACGGCTGCCAGGTAGATTGTTTACCACAAATATGATGAGTTATTTTTATTGGGGATGTTTCCAGACTGTGGAGAAATGTTAAAGGAATATTTCAAGTCCATTTTGCCGTTTTCGGAAATACGAATATAATTTACCGAAAATGACAGCTTTTATCTGTCGAACTTTTTTGAATACACCCGAGTCCTTTCTCATTTCCTCCGCAATTCTCTAAAATAATAACTCTACAGTCTTCCTAGGTTTATTCAATGATTTCCGCATGATATAGATTGTAAATGGATGACCTTTCTTGGTGACTCATTTATTCAAGTATCGTTACACTTTACAGTGATATTTAGCGGCTACACAGGTTATACTTGGACTAGCTAACTAGGCAGGATACATTTCTTGAAATTGTCTAACACCTCTATCGTCAGACACTCGCACTTAAAAAATAATGTTAAAAGTATGCAACTTTAATAAAGGGCTAAGGTCCCACGAACCGCTCTGACGGACAATGACGAATAGAAAGATTTGGAAGTATGCATTTAGTGACAGAACTATCAAAAAATTAACCGATATCAAGTGCACTTTCAGTATGCGCTTTGATCATCGCTAAAGACTATGAGAATCGGGACGACAAACAAATCCTTGATTGTCTTCTTCTACTTAGTCTGAGTTCTTTGATAAATCACGAGCAACCATGCTAAAGTTGCTAAATCAGGCGAGTTCTTAGTGTGGGATCAGTCGATTGCACCATTGTTTTGAAATATAAGTTACATTTTTTTTGCAAAAGTTATAGTCAAATATGTAGCGTGAGGGAATATGACAACATAAATTTCAAAAGCTCACATTCTAACAAGCAACCAACCCAACCACAAGGAGAAGGCGGCATCTTAGAGCGTGTATATTTGAGTATATGTCTTGAAATGCTCGTTGACATAATCCCAGACTGAAGAATGATATTACCCGTACCTATGGGTAATATGGCATCATGCTTTGGGGAATATGCCAACATGCTCTTCTCGTAAAAAGTGAACAACTGTTAGTCGAGAAAAAATATATAATCCTTACAACAGAACAAGTATTAAGTAATACAACGCGGCTAATAAATCTCATATCTCGAGAGCTTTCGAGGTACTTGCTAGTTGATTTAGTGAGACACAATCGCTACAATATATGTCTGAAGGAGTACATACTATATCTCGTGAACCCAATCACGGCATTTTAGACATTGCAACCAGTCACATTTGGGACCTTTTTTGTCAAAATAGTATCCACCGCATTGGGCACAAAATTCTGATTCATCATGTTCCAATTCTGAGTCCCCACCCTCTACTGTAGGCATATTACCCCACATTGTACCTTATTACATCAAAAAGTGGCAACACCTATTTGAGATGCGTTTAACGGATTGTTCCGCCAAAAAAATTAGGTTAATAATCTTATATTGGCATACTTTTATTAAAATTGGATTAAAAACACAACTTCTTCTATCACCGAGGTTAACTTGACTTGAGGATATTTCTTAAACGATCCTTACCTTTATACTGACGATATTGACTAAAAAACTAATTAATTTGATTTCTGAGGTATTCACAGAAGATTGCTACATTAGAACAACGTGTTAGAATTAATTGGGTTAATCTTTTTATAAGCTTTATTTTGCTTGGTGAGTAGAGATTACTTAATTCTTGAGTCATTCCCAGTTTTCGAGATATTACATCTCAAAATAAATATAAATAAATGCCACAAATTTAATGATTTAATCCCCCAAAAATGTTAAAAGAAGCTTAACTTAAACTCGCAAAAATATAGCGGGTGTACCAATTAAATTTGTTTAGAGAAATTACATCTTGCGTTTATGGATGATGCAACAAACTTAAAAAACGAAAACGTTTAGATGTCAAGAAACTATTGGAAATTAAACTTATTTGTTACCCTTTCTGCAAAAGGCTTACATGCAATCAAAGTAAACAGTTTATTCTGGACAAAATATCTCTTAGCTCCAGAGGTAGTGGTCCAAAGTTCTCTTAAAGGGATATACTAAAACATGCACGACATTCTATTTTAAAAAAATGTATGTTTATGTATTTATGAATCACCTTGTAGTGACATATTTTCAAGTCAAGAACGTATAGTAGTCTAGAATTTTTGATAACCTTTTCAGATATCAAATCAATCAAAATTTATTTATTTCGTGTTCTTGAATTTTGACTACTGATCTCATACTAAAATATCACCCCGTATATTTCAATACAAAGTAGTTATTTTAAGTAAAAAAAAGTAATCTTAGAACAACACAAATAACTACCTTTAAAGTTTGACTCAATGCTTATGAAATATTCTCTACTTGTGGATAACAAAAAGCTAGGAGAAATTAAAAATTATTTTTAAGTCAAATTGACCATGCATAATGTTCGTTCGCAATGAACGAGAAAAAGCAAAGAAAACCAGTTTGTTTGTCTCCCCTTCTGAACCCTGTAACTAAATGTGAAGGGCAATGTAGCATGCCTTAGAAATGGAATTTTGACGTCAGATATTATTACCATTTTTTAATTGGTCTCTGACTTGATAGATACTAGGTGAGTATAAAATTCTAAGAATTCCGAGTTTCAGATAGTATGTATTTTTCTTCTTAGGAAAACGAGGTTAGAATTATTCATATTTATTTTAAAATTCAATAACTTTTTATAGCTGATAGTAAAGTCAACCTTTATGTCTTAGGGACGGAGTTTCCTGAGCAAATGATGTTGTGGAATGGGAAGGAATATAGAAATTTGAATTTCATATCAGCCCAATGTTTAGCTTTTCGGCTTCTTCCTACACTCGTTTCCTCTGAATTCGAAGAGAAAGTTTATTACTTGAACGGATGGGTTCTAAAATTTTTTGAAGCATCTCTGCAATAAAGAATTTGAGGATATTAATTAGGGTGTCTGGGCTCGAAAGATGTGTTTAGCTCAACATTATGATGATATTGAAATGGGAAAAAGGCCCAAAAAGGAGGGTCAAGTCCGGATTTCGGCATAAAATTAATTTGGATTAAAATGTTCAAAATCAGTTCCTGTAGTATCTACCGACAAAAATAATCCTATTCCACCCTTAAAGGACCACCTCCAGTCCCTAGTGTTTTCCAACCACCCCTTAAAATAGTGGAAATACCACCACCTAATAATAGCATTTTTGTAAACTTTTGACACTGGCAAACCAATATTTTCTTAATAAAAATTACTACTAACTCTATTTTATCTATTTTCACCCTTGTTTAGGGGGTAAAAAGGCACCGGGTGGATTAAGTACATAGACTTACAAAAAATGGGCATTTTAAGTTCACATGTGACATGATTTCCCTGGAATTTTTGTCTTCTGGCCACGAATCCGTGTTTAGTTTTGTTCAACCCTCAACCCTCCTTTAGTCTTCATAAAATCGCTTAGAAAAAATAAAGACGTTTCAAGTGTGATTTGTTCTTTAAGGACATTGGTATTACAGAGTTTTCGAAATCTGTTTTTGAAGTACCCATAAATAATTTTCTCAGCTCAGAAAGCTTTAAAGTATCTATTGAAGCGAATTTAGAACCAATGATTTGCATGAAGTTTCAATATACAAACTTAGGTATAAATATAAAGATGCACATGCAGGATGGGAAACTAACCGACGTTTAAACGTTTATGTTGTTCCAGAATCGTGTCGACAATAGTACAGTAATTTTTCTGGCATACTTTTATACATGCATTTCTATTTTATAAATATACGATATAATTTGATAATATAAAAAAAACATAAATGAAAATGGTCCATAGTTAACAGTTTTGTGCAACTTTTTTGATTAATTTGTTAATTGACATCGAGTGTCAGTAGATGCGTTCAAAACACAACCTTTGTATAAAACAATTATTTATTAAAGTTTCAAAATTCAAAAGATGCAAAACTGCCAGAGAAAGTCTTCTAGTCATTTCTGACCACCATTTTCAGAAAAACCGCAAGCTCTTATCTGATGTAATGTATTTCAAATCTGTTTCTGTCTTATTTTTTGATATAGCTGCTTCTGCCTTCTAACTTCGACAAGAATGCATGCTCACAACAAGGACTTACGTGTAGTAGAAAATTCATAATAGAATGTGAAGTTGTTCGGTCTTAGTTTAAAAGAATATCAATTCAATTTTAATGCCGAAGTGGAATATGATAGAAATCTGTGTTTTGTGAAGCTACTGCATTGCTTCGTTTTTATGTCGAGTTGTGATTTGATGTTTCCCATTTGTCCGTGGATCTATCTTAATCTTGTCTGTTCAAAATGGTCTAATAGTCTAAGCAAATCTGGTGTAAATCTGGAGTATCTTTACCAAGTCATATCCCATAATTTGTTGATTCATCCGCTGTAGCATAAGTTTAAATAATTATTATTATATTCAAAATGTAGAGCTCCATTCCAGTATAACATCTGTTTCCTATGTTGAATATTTCAGAACGTTACAGATAATCCATTCATTATCATATTAATTAAACAATATGAACTCCTAATATACAAATCTGGTGTTGAATACGTTCTCCAATATCTTACACTCTTTACTCATAATACCAACATATGTTTATATATACCCTATTTCACGAGTATGCATCTCGCTTTGACGTCTACTGAGGTGAACAGCTGATCAGCAAGTGACATTTTTGTGTTAGTCTGCAACGTTGGCTATTACAAATCGGGTGTAAATCTAGCAAAAATCTGTTTG